GTTTATATCAACTCTTATATTGAATTTGTATTGCACTATACATATTTTGAGATACTGTATAACACAAATTATTCATACCATCAAATGGCCAAAAGTTTGCTGAGAAGAATGTATTTTATATTATGCCCTGAAATAAGAAATTAATAGTAAATATTTAAATTTGCTATGTTAGACCATTGTAATTTACAGTATAGCTCTGTATTTGGTTTGTTTGAAGGTTCTTTAATGGAATGGGTTCTAAATATGGGTGCAAGTTGAATTTGTATTTACATGTAGTAGTTTCAAGATTGGTACTTGTAGGAAAGTCCTGGACTCTGTTAGAGAAATTTGATGTGTAACATGCTTTGTTTTATCTCTAGGTCCATTATCCTTCATGTTCGCTGTGCATACCAGTGGTATGTTTGTTAAATGAATTTCGGATGTAAATCCCTCGAAAGGAAGAAAATAGAACAAACATTTTAATGTAATTACTCTTTAGGCAAGTACTTAATTGGACCCCAGGTTATTTAATGATGGTATATCACCTGCAGATGTTATTTGGTATTGAGATGAGTAAGTGCTTATGTTTAGTGAATTTTAAAGAATTTATTATTTTGCAGTTTATGGACTGTTTCAAACTACTGTCCCCGCTTGTTCGTGAACGCACTTCTAAATATCATGAGACTTCTGAATAGCTGGTGCCATGGGCTGGAACTGAGACCTGGTACATCTGAATAGAAATTGCATGCTTTCTACCAACGACTTACAAGTCTGTTAACAAAAACTATACACTTTATTATATTAGGTCGACAGAGGGTATCTGTAGAAAAGTATTTGGCCTAATTTTGTGCATGAACTACAACAGTTTATCATGGATAGATATGATCTGGGGAACTTCTCTTATATTTTCAGTCTTACGTATGAAACTAATTTTAGAAGATTTCCGTCTTCATACTCACCGCTGTGAGAACCTAAAGTCTTACGAAACTAATTTTATTTGTAGTACAGATTGCTTACTCATAAACCTTACTTACCTCTGTCAAACTTTGAAGCTATTAGTAACAGTAAGATACTTAGATGAACAGAAAATGGTATGCAACAAAGAAATGACAATTTTAATTTTGCTACAATCTGGAAAACTTAATAAAAATTTTATGACCTTGTTCATAGTGTGATTTTTTAATAAAGTGGAAGAACATTGTTTCAAAACTATATTTAAAGATGGAAGTCCAAGACATGTACATTTCATCTAAGTTTTTGTGTGTATGTGTGTGTGTGTGTCTTTAGATTTTCTGAATAATTGTTTTATTATATCTTATTTCTAGAGAAGTATCTAGTGTTTGAAATGTTACAGTTTTTATTTAAGTTAATCTTAAATTTTCTGTAATTTAATCACTGTAAAGAGTGAAGATTTGTATGTAATGTTTATCACATATAATATGTTATACTTTTCTAGAAGGAATTTTGCATAAGAAACTAACATTCTGAATGCCAAATATCTTTGGTGTTTCTGAGAAATGTAAAATGGTAAGATCATTGTGATATAAATTTCTGCAATTTAGGCATGTTTTATACTATATTTCAAAAGTTACTTAAGAAAAAATATGTATATATATATATATATAAACTTTGACCTGGATGGTAGACAAAAAAAGGCTAAAAATTTTGAGACGTCACAGACAAAGTAGATCAAGATCAGGATGAAAGACCCATTTCAGTAAGATAAACCTTTCAGTACCACCAGAATTCACTAGAGGCCAACTTGTGCAGTTCTTTCAAACTTAGAGCTTATAATAATGAAAACGATGTTAAGGTGGAGAATTTAAAATTTGTTCAATAGGAAAGAATTATTTGCGGTATTACACTGCAATCAAATTATGAACCACAGCTCGAATTGTCATAATTTCCAGAAAACTTTTGGGGATGTAATGCAAGACTTCTATATTTTGCAGCCTTCAAGAAATTAATTTGTTTCATACCAAAAGCATATTCTAGGTACTAAAATTCCTTTATTTAATTTCAGTGAAGTGGAGTGTTTGAGTTTATAAAAGAAACTCTAAAATCTGCTTTGCTGAGGTGCTAAAGATGAATGATTAAAAAAACTGGCTGAGCATTCGACACGTGTCTAAAATCTGCTTTGCTGAGATGCTAAAGATGAATGATTAAAAAAAACTGGCTGAGCATTCGACACGTCATAATTGACGGGAATTAAAGTTTTTTGTGCTTTATTATTGTACGGTTTATTGCTACCAATGTCACCACTTATTTAGAACTTAATTTAAATTAAGTTTTGCATTGCATGAACAGTGCACTTGTCCAATCAGGCGTGATGGATGATGGCTATTATATCGAGTAGATTACTTTTCCAGCATCTAATTACAGTCTAAAGTACCAAACGTCAAAATTATTGTTGGCCATGATTTGAGATATCGTACTATTCAGTGTGCCGTTTGCTTCCGTACTTTAATCCCTTTCTCTTTGACAGAATTTTGATTGTGACCATCTCACAAAGAGAACTATAACTAGTTCAGGGGTTCTGAACCCATGGGATTCACTCCAGATATGTTAACGCAGTCTTCATTCAAACAGAACATTGAAGCTTTAATTCAGACGTCTAGATGAACTTTCTTGTGTCATAACCTAAAGCAGTGACACTTCTTATGAATTGTGTTTTGTGTTGTGATCACTTTAGTGTAGTACAAAGATCCGACACATGGGAACTCCTGAACTAGGTAAACAATATATATCAATTCTAGTGAACCTTTGCATATCTTACATATTATATCACTTTGCTGGGTACAGAAACTTGTGAAAGAATGTATGAACCAAAAAAAAATTAAATTGTCATAGTAGTAGATTAAATACTAAAATTGTGTGCAGTGCACATTTGTTAATATGTCTTTTTAATTAAGGTGTAGTGGTGAAAAGAACTATGACAACTTTTATTCTTATTTTGTTTGTTGATGAATAATAGTGTAGAATTTTTTGAATACATAGTTGAGTGAGATCAGAATATAAAAAGATAATTGCCTCGCAAACTGGAATATTGTCACAGACTGAAAAATACAAAAGATACATTTTTCTTATATCCTGATTGCTAGTAAGGAGCAATAGCGTAGTTTTCATTGCTTTGTTTAATAGGCTGTTTATATTCATTTTCTGCTGGAACGTGTTTAATCTTCTGTTTTACCAGTACTTTTAATTTGTGATTGCAATTCAAAATTTACATTCAGTTACAGACAACTCTTATAGTTATGCCTGAGTTCATTCTTAGGCACAGTTAATTTGTTTTTTAGACAAAATATTGATTCATATCTACACAGAATAGTAGCACAGTTGACTTTCAAGAATCAAAAACATTCCATTGCACCACATCACTCCCATCACTGACGCTGTTCCGCATGCTTTTCTTCAGAGAACATAGTTCAGTCCCGTTTATAATTACTGTGCTAAATGCCAGTGTTATTTACAGATATATGCATATTTCACGCAAATCCTAAGAATAAATAACAGAAATCCGGTTCTGACTTTTTTCGTAAATAAATACGTATGATTGCAATGTTAATTGCGTTGTAATAAAGATTGTTTTGATATTTGATAAATGGGTATTTCAGAGAGGAATTTAGGAGCTTGTCAAGTTATTGTGGCATACTGAGAACTAGCTCTCTATAATCCACAGTCTTTGAGTTCAGTTTTTACACAGTTTTGTTATTTTTCTGAAAATATAACAAGCATGTAAATGGCTGATCTGTTGTATCTAGTAATATGACATTGGGACATGTAGAGATTTACATTTTTCTGATTCTATTGGAAATAAAACTCCTATGTTTGTCCTTTATGCTACTTTAATATCCATTCCATAAATTCAGCATGCATTTGGCTGCTACTATGACACACATTTTCCTTAATCACATGCAGTAGTTTTATTTTTATGTATGTAGTAGAATGTGTCTCAAATAACTGTGAAACTTCAGAGAGAGACTCCGGTTAAAATGATGCTGTTGTCGCACATTAACATTAAAATCACTGTACATTTAGTAGAGCCTATGTGGATGGAAAAATGTTTACAGACATTGTAAAATATCTTTGCAGTGAATTACAACAGATAGTGAAAATTAACTAATTCTGTGGAGTTCAGCTAGTCAAGACACTCCCTGCATTTTATGGAACTTGAAGGTTTGTTCACAAGAGCTCTCCTCCATCCCCTGTCCTAAGCCAGATGAATCCAATCTACATCTCCAATTTCCTTAAGATTTGTTTCATTATTGTCCTCCCATCTATACCTTGGTCTTCTGAGTGGTCTTATCCCTTCAGGCTTTTCATCGAGAATTTTTTATGTATCATATTCTGTGTATGTGCTGCATTTCGTTCTCAATTTTTTTGCCTTAATAATATTTGGTGAAAAGTACAAACTGTGGTGCACCTCGTTATGCACTTTTCTCCAGGCTGCCATCACTTTTTCCCCTCTTAGGTTCAAATATTCTACTAAGTATTCTGTTCTTAACACCCTCACTTTGTGTTCTTACTTTAATCTGAGTAATTGGGTTTCACATACAAAACAAATATGCAGAGTTTTATGTCATGTATTTTAATTTTTGTTTTTAGATAGCACACAGGAAGACAAAATATTTTGAAAAACATGATCAGTTGATTTTGCATTCTCAAATTTTATTTTGTACCTTACCATCAAGCCTGAATCGCTTGCGTCCTGAGTGTTCTTTCAGTAGTGTATAGCAGGGTCGCAAATCAAGATTTGATAATAAGTAGAACATCCTATCCCAGTTTAATCAATGTATGCACAGATTAACTGTGACTGGGGACAAACATTGTGGGGAAAATAAGTGTCTTTGGACAGATGACTGGATTACTTCTTCATAATTTTAGAGAGTTGTTTGGAGACTACAGTAGTTGCAAACAGTACTTGACTGGACTTGTTAATCTACATGAGTAATGCTTTGTATCATCAAACACTGTACCCATTACCTTATTTTCTGAATTTGTTCAGTAATTCTGGTTAAGGTAAATTTGTGTTTCTCCACTCCACAATGAACTTTTTAGGTTAAAGTTACGGGCCAGTGTTTCATCAGAGGTTATGAAGTGATATTCACTCTGATATTGATTCAGTATAATTTAAATTCAACTCAAATTGCCTTTTGCACTGGTAAGAACTGTTTCTGCACAGATTGTGTGCTGCCTTTATTGTATCCCACATTAATTGAGTATCAGTATCAGCACTACTCAACTGATGTTAAAATTGCAATGTTAATTAATATAACTATATTCTTCTGTTGAACTTCATAAGCTGATCCACATATGTAATTGGCACATCATGTTATGTATATTCATCATAACTTGGTTCGAATACAAAAGTATGGATACCAATATCATACTAATCATTTTACAAAGATAGGAATGCAGAAAATTTAACAGGTTTTGCATACATCCCATGTAACATTTTGGCCAATTATAATCACAAGTCCTGGAAATTTTAACACTAGATGTTCTTCCAGAACAATTATTTATGGTCAAGTTGTGCTTCTAATAAAAGGAACTATTGAGGACATAACCTGCTTGTGAACTACCCAAGCTATAATAAAATTAAGTTTTACCAGCAGAAATTGAGGAATATCACCCAGAGTAATCGTATTATTATTTAACATATTTGAAACTCTATATTTTTTAAATACTGCACTAACACAATTACATGAACTCTGTGTGAGTGATGCAAAAATTATAATTTTGTTTCTGTGTTACAAAATAATAGTCTTTATTCTGATCTCACTCATAAACAAGAATGTGGTATCTGGTTATGTATGTAAAAAGATATATTAATGTGTATATTGGCACACATTTTTTAAATATTATTTTATTATATTAAATATTTAAATAAGAATCATATATACAGTGACATGTTTCTTGGTTATTTTGACATAAATAAAATCAGCATTGTGGTTTGATAGCCATTCATTATTATTATATGCATAATATAATATATAACCTCTTTATCATAAGTATATAAGCAGTACCATAGGAATATTTTTTGTGTTGCAGGTGTAATACATAAACATTATACAAGGTGTACCATTTAAAATGTAACCCATTAACATTCATATACTGTGGTACAAAAATGAAATCAGAAGCAGGCTCACCCACACAAGGTACTCAAGTCAAGGCCACCTTCGTTGCTAGGTCATTGGTCATACTAATTACCCAAAAGCTGTGCAGGTGTGAATATTTGTACATTCTCAATCATTACTTCACATTTAAATTGTTTCCTGATACTTGTGAAGCATTTAGCTATACATATCCTAACAAGGAAATACCAAATAAAACAACTGTATACCAACCAGTAACAAACACTTCACAAAGTTGCATGAAAAACATTAAAGAGTGTGGATTCTTGTCTTCGAGAAGGTGGCGTACATGTCAGCATCTTCAGTTCTTGTTAACACATTAAAACTACAGAAGTAAAAATTCAATTTTCTCGTTACGTTGATGTCACAAAAATTTACAAATACTGTTTTAGTTAAGTTTGCATTTTAAATGGGTCACTGCATTAGAATATTGGCCTTTCGTATTCAAAGTGGTGTAGCAAAAATAATATATTTGTAAATGTTACTGCAGTGTACCATGATGCTATAATTTTATCAGGTGCTGCCAAGTCATGATAGCTAACATTTTTAACAGTGGTAATTCTGTATATTGCCTGAGAAATACTTATCATGATACATGTGATTTCATAGCAACCCATCTTCATCCTTTCCTATGTCATGTAGCTTTTCATAGGAAACTACCTCTGTCTAATATTTCTTTCAATATTCCTTATCTGTGAATTACTGAAACTATTTTCACTTATCTCCACGTCATCTGCAGCCCAGAAAATTTATTAAACTGTCTAGTAACACAAACAAGGAGATGCTTTGTCTCCATTGCTCTTTGTCTTTGCGCTAGGATATGCCATCAGGAATATCCAACATAGGCAAGAGGGTTTGCAATTGAATGGGACACATCAGTTATTGGCATATGCTGATGATATTGGGTGACAATAATAGAAACAATAAAGAGGAACACAAGTTTTATTGGAAGCTAGAGAAAAGGTGGTTGTCACCACAAAATATACATAGTAATTATGAACTAAATGGATTTGATGATCCCTGGACTGTTCAAAAAACATAGATTTCAGATTGACCAAACTAAGTGCTGATCTGTTTATATCTTTTCCCTATGTCTTCTAAGTCACTGGATTCCAGCGTCAAATGTCAGTAGATCAAGACTCGCCAGTCACACTGGGTGTTACCCTTGCGCCATTTCATCAATCATTTCTCACAGTCCTAAATTTCAATGTGAGGAATAGAGGCTAGTCTGGATTTTAATGCTGTTGTTCTACACATTGATCATCTTTCCACCATTCCATGAAGAGTATTATCTTCCCTCAAAATACTATTCGATAGTTTATATACGATGAGAAAAAGCTAATTGTAATGATTACTAAGAAAAACATCTCACTTACAGAATAAGCTGCCCTGCAAAATCAAACAGGAAATGATTACCATAAAGTTACGTAAACATTGTGAATAAAGGTGTCGTTGTAATATATGTATCAAACTTGCAATATTAATAAATTTGTGATTATTCTAATAAATTGGTCGGTGTATCACATCAAGATGTATAATGCGACTGAGAGACAAAATCAAATTGCCTAGCTGCTAGTCTCACGTCCTGAATACTGATTTTTATTAATTAATTCATGTTTTTCTTTAAATAAGACATATATTGGTGTTTTTGCTGACATCTTCCATAAATAGTTGTAATTAATGAAATTTAAATGAGATTTGCATACGGACAAATACGATTATGCGTGATTGGAATTATGACGCTTGCTGTACGTTTGAAAATTGAAATGTTGATTTTTTGTTGGAAAGAGTATACAATAACCTCTGTACAAGTTCGAAGGACACATATTTTCTGCATTTATTTATTAATGCAGAGGAAGACTGAAATACGCACATTATGGACATTTTGTCCTGTGTTATACATTACTGCAAGGAATTCATCAGGTAAGAAGAGCCATTTTTATCATACAATAACTATTTTGTTAAAAAAGGAAAGTTTTAAACGTGGAGGTTTACAAATGTATTTTACGCTGCTTAAAGTATTTGTTGTAAATGAGTATATCAAACGTGCAACGGACACCATCAACAGAGGTGTGGAATTTTGGTTATGTTCGGGCGCTTTCGATTAGATGCCGTCTATTATATATGAGTAGTTGAGTTAGTACACCAGTACTTCATTATTAATTAAACATATTGCCAAATTTCTTCAATTGTTGAGAGAAAATAATTAACTATATCTGCTTTATCGTATACTTTTTCTTTAAATTCGGGTATGACTGTGGTTATTTCGAAGCAGGAATAGCCACAATTATTTTTGCAGGAAAGTGCAGAACTATGTAATGTCATATATAACGATCTTGTCACATGTTAAATTATCAGTGTTATTGTTATTCACATCTACATGTATAGTAGCATTCCAGAAATGTATTGTAAAAAGTGGAAAAATATTTTCTGGACGGTCAATTGATGGGAGAAGTTCACATATTCTTGCGAGCCATCAATAAAATGAACACACCCAATGTTTGCCCGTAGGAAATGGCCGACCGTAATGGAGGTTGAGAAGTGATGGTCGGAAGATGGTTATTGCACGGTAATTACGTTTGATATTGTTTTTATTGTATTTTATTATTATTGGTACGGCTCCTGTACTTGCATCGAAAACTTCGGAAGTACAGTTGGACTTGTGGGAGCCAAGGTAGTGGTATTATGTGGTTTCAAGTAATTTCATTCTGTTTACAACCGAATACTTTTGTCCTTTTTTTATAAGTAGTTTTGCATAGGCATAATAGAAGAAACAATAGATCTGTAATCTTAAATCAGTTAATCTGCTCTGGTTGGTTTAGAAACTTCATTATTTAAAGAGGAATGTCATGTTGTCTTCTTGATAATACACTTCATTGAATCAAACTAGTATTCTGTACATTATTTAATTATAAATAGATCATGGGAAGAGAAATGTGTTTTTAAAATTACATTAATTGAGAAGGAAAATCACATTAGAACGTTTTATATTAATGTTGTGACTGATGAAATACAGTGAGGTACATGATTAAGTATATGTTTTAAATATGCTTTACTAAAGAAGAAAGAAATGTGACAGTCAAGAAGTAATATTTCAGATTCAATTTGACGTTTTTGTTGTGTTATGAATATTTAAGAACTTTGTTGCTGAAGCTGAGGGGTATTCTAGTTTGAAAGATCAATATATTTATACCAGTTCTGATACATTGCACCTGCATGGAGACATCTTATTTTGTAGGCCAGAAAAATATTTCTGGATAACTTTTGAGGGTAAGTTTATCATAGCATTGCCACCTTTAATGATGGTATTTATGTCAAGCAACAATAATTGTACTTTATTTATTGGCAGTATTAATTCATTATTCTGTTTCAGTTGAATTTTAAGTATGTGTTCTATTTAGGCTAGGGGTTTGAAACATTTTCATTACTGCTGGTCACATTGGCCTTTCATATCTTTGTTAAGGGTCACAGAAAAAATAACCTAAACTTCAGTTATTAATAACACAGTAATTTTAATATTGTTTACTTAAATTCCATTTGGTGTTAACATTGGAACAATGGACTCTTATGCAGTAATGATATTTTAAGGTTTTAGGCCTATGGCTGCAACATTTTTGTTCCATTAAAATATATTCCTGTGGTTGTTTGCCCTTATTCTGTATAATGCACATATATATATATATCAGTGTTCCTCTGCATCAAAATAATTTTGTCCCCCTGATTTACGACTCTCACATCAGAGATTTTGGCAGTTTTGTTGTCTAGTGTATAGGGATTTCAGACAGTGCTGTAACTGAAGAAGTTGTTTTTGTCATTGTTGGAAATTTGTTGAATTATTAACAATCTTGTTTGATATGGCCACAAACAGAACCCAGATGAAGACAGTTTAATACTGTTGTGAAAATAAATAATGGCTGTGAAAGAAGACGTGGAATTTGAGGTTCTTATAGTTATGAGTGTGAAGATGGCTATCATCTGGGATGTATTGACATGTAGTATCAGAAATGAAGGCAGTAAGTTTCTCTGAAATGACATTTTTATAATTTTTAAGACAGCCATCTTCAAGACAGGTGCAATTTTATTCAAAAGACAGATGGGCTAGAAAAACATTCCCTATGTCAACATTTTTCTCACATGAAAGTGACCCATAAACACGATGCTGGAACATTTTAGTTTTCCTTATAAGCGCTTGAATTAATGGTAGGTCATCTTTTCATTTTTGTGATGCTATGTCCAAGTTCTCACGGAACTCCCCTTTTACTGTATATTGCAGCGCATTCATCAAGCCGTCTTTGCAAAACAGTATTTAGTGACTTGCCAGCCACAGTTTCAAGTTACCTGGATCATTAAAATCGTGGAAATGGCAAAAACAATGTAAACTCGCAAGTTCACCTTCACAGCCTGACAAGTGATTTGCTCAACAGTTCTGGCTTGCCAAGAAATGAAATTAGGTAGGCATACATTTTAATTACATGCATTTTTAAATCTAGAGTTATGTAGGATCTAGGGTAATTTTATGTGATAATAAGTGCTAACTCTTTTATGGTTATTTTTCCGAGTGTTTAAATATTTTTACTCATCTTTTACATCTCGCAGCATACACAAATATATGAATAATTCAGAATAGCAGATTGCTTTGCTGATAGGAAAGTGGTTAATATCGATCCCATCTGTTTTATACGTGTGTTGAAGAACTGGTGAAGCCGTGAGATAGCGTGTGACGGATGAACTGTCCGCACAAAAAAATTATAGATGTTGTGGAAAATGTCATTTGCTCTCTTACACATCTTCATGTCACGAAGAATATATTATTTTAATTGTTTTAAAGTTTATTTTCTGCGTTAGGCATTTGTTGATTACTGAGTTCCTTTAGCAGACGGAACTAGTAAGGAAGTTCCATCTGCTAAACGGTGTATCGTGTGCAGATGTATAGGTTTTTGGGGCCATCTCTTGCTTTTAAGCAAGAAACAAAATTCTTAAATTCATCGTGTATTATTATCAACAACATTGATTTTGTGTGTTATAAAGTTAAAAGTAAACTTACATGATTCATTTGGTGTATTTTTGACAGGCGTAACATATAATGATAGAGAGATGTTGACTGAATTCCAAAGTGGAAGGATGAAGATCCAGGAGCTACTTGTGTGACTTGTGCTGTTATTTTTGCTGTCACATCCACCCGCAGATGGCGCCTGCTGGAACATTACTTCTCTTCCTTTGTACAGCATCTGCTTTGCTACGTCCAGCATTGTTATCTTCTGGGACTGATGTTTCATTCTTGGATCGTACGTTACTGGAAAAAGACATTGCAGCTGTTTTCAACAAGGTAAGTTTCATCTTCCATTGTTGTTGTCTCAAGATAAATTGTTTTGTGGCCGCTATAAATATATGTGCGGCTATCATCCAAAAGTGCGATATCAAAAATCTGTCGCCATCGTCTTGATCAGAGTCATGAAGCTTATGTTACCGATTGACTGTGCTTGCCCATTAGTCAGGAATTAGAATCTGTAAAACAATACCACAGAATGTGATTTCCTTTCGAATAGCGTTTTCAGGAAGTTATGAGTATGCGACATGATTGCATGATTTGTGTTCTGAATCCTGTTACGTCTTTCGAGAGACAAACAAGACACCAAAAGGAGGTGTATTGAGTAAACATGACGTACATAAACATACGTCTGATCTTCCGCAGTCTTTCTTAGCCTAAATCGTGTTTGTTCAGTTCTGATTGTGGACAAGTTGAGTACCAGCAGGCAAGGGTAGTTTTTGTTGTTGAACAGGATGCAGTAGATAAGGATTATGGAGTCAAGATCAATACTGAATTGTAGTAAACTGGTCTTAATCAGAAAATAATCTATTGTATTTGTGTGGAATAAATCCATATTGTGTTTTTAAATAATAAACCCACTGTGTTATCACTGATTATATTACAGTAATATAATTTTTGTACTTGTTAGTTATAAGTGGATAAACTGAAGCATTCGTTCAGCGTTTGTGACGACAGATATCTTGTTAGAATGATCTCGTTCCGCTGTCATTAATATTGTCCAAAATAAATTCTGAAATTTGTCAGAATAAAATCGCTGCAGTTGAGACAAACATGTAACATGGATGCTCTGTTCATATTTTGTTTTATTTTTATTTATTTTTTTCTAAGCTGAAACTTATAAGAATAGTAAAACTGTAATTCAATTACCCATGGAATGCCATTGACCTGTAGTCACTTTGGGCTTGAATGTTTCAATCAAGGATGGTTGAAATATGGTGAAACAAGATAACTAATATTTTTCTCCCAGGTGGCCTATGGTGGGGTGACCACTACAAAACGCAGCATCTCGTCAAAATACTTCCCTTCCTCAGGTTCCCCTACAACTGTACCTCCACCTATCACAAGTATATCTGTCCCAGCAGTGCCACCAAAGATTGTAACCCCACCCACTCCTCCGTACACAAATATACCAAGTCACAGATCTCTTCAACCCATTCCCCCGATGCATTCAACTACAATCCCTCCATTCACGCCCCCAGAGACATTATTCCCGCCCTCTTTTACAACTCCAACGCCTCATGAGGTACCGTCATACATCCCCCCAATACGATCCTTCTTTACTCCGCCTCTCCCCCCGGAATATGCAAATCCATTTGCTGACAAGCCAACACTGAGGGGGAGTAATTCTGATGGTGCAACTTTGAATGGTGGAAGGATTCCAGTTCAGTCACTTCCTAATCCTGTGTCGGGAAGGGATCGTATTCCTTTGAGAGCACCAGACGTTGTGCCAAATTTAGAACAAGATGGGAATAGGTAAGTTTGTGGTCTCTGTTTGAAATGACATTAGCTGGAATACAGTTTAGAAAACAACTGCTATTTAATTTAATTATTTTTGGCACCGACAGTTTACTGGTTTTAGCAGATCAGTTAATAAATTCACAACTTAATATGTCTGTCTGAATAAAGCAAAGAGCATGCAATTTACATTTTGAGAATGCTTTAAACTTTCTAATTAGAATAATATATGTGTGTGTGTGTGTGCAACTTTTTTTACTTCTTGATGAAAAGCGCTGTGCTTCTGGTTGAAGATGCGTTTGTGTAATTTTCAGAGCTGTTTCTTCAAGCCGTAGTCCAAGAAACAGTTTCTCTCCGCACAGAAACCAGCCTCATATTTCTGACGCTTTATGCTTCTTCTCTTTTATTCCCACGAGCTCAACGCACACAGCACCACTATCGTTTTGATGGAATAAGCCAGTCTATTGTCACTTCAGTCTAGTCCTCTTATTTTGGTGGGAGCATTTGCTGGCGTCCATACTGACCTATGTGGGTAGGGTTTGTTTTTTCATCATGTAACAGCATATTTCTCACTAGACACAGATGGTATTTTTTGTGAACTTTTTAGATCGAAGCGGAATAAAGAAGAATATAACTAAAATATTGTTAGATGGCTGATGGAATAGTTGTTTGCTGTCCTGTCCTTAAGCTGGTTTTACGCTTATGTTCTTGACACAGTCCTCTGCTGTAATTTAATTTGGTACTTGGATATTTTGATATTTGGTCCGCTAGCATGATGAGCTGTGTGCTCTTGCACATGTACAATGATTATGTGTATTGTACAGGGAAGTATTAGTGATACAACCTGAACAAGATGTTCTAGAAAGTGTCTTTACTTAATGATTTTCCCTCATGTATTTTAAAATTAAGTTCAGCATTTCAAAATTGTGCTTTATAATAAGAATCTGTGATAGAGGGTCGGAATGCAAACTCCATAACCAAGTTGATTTTGGATGTTAAATATCTGAATTGTAAATAGCGAAGCAATGACATGCACTGAACTGTAACGCAATACTTCAGATTTGGGTTAGCGAGAGTAGTTGAACGTCAAAGTTTTGCGTGTTTTTCATGGGTGACAGGCAACAAGAACTGCAATGGACTCATGGGTTGATGAGTGTCATTTTAATTTTTTCAGCTCTGTGTCATCATCGTCAGATCGCAAGAAACCGCTTAATACTCCGAGCTTCAGTCGATCTCCTGAAGCTCCGTATTCAGAACTGGATAAAAGCCCTGGTCCCATCAACCAGCGTCCATCAGCTAATGAGTCTGATTTAGAATTTGTTCCTATTTTTCATTATCCTTCTGTTTCCCGAATCCTTTCAGGAAGCAACGGACGCAAACCTGAAGCTCAGCCACCTCCGGAAATTTTTCAGAAACTTAACCCTCCAGAATCGAAACTTCCTCGTATGCCAGAAATGTTCCCAAAACTTGCTGTGGATCCCTCTGTTCCAAAAACATCAAAGAAAGATATCCCTCCAGAGACAGTGCCTGGGCCCGATATTCAAGTCCCTCAGACTAATCCAGCATCTGCTCAAAACCCGTCAAACTCTTTTGGTATCAACAAATCACAACCTCCAAACATCCCGTCCAATACAGATTCAATTATTGACCAGCATACAGAAGGAAAAGCAGAACATCTTCCTGATCCGCAGCCACAGCCACCGAAACCCAACGCCGTATCACCCGATACTCCAAATCCATCTCGAAGTTCGATCCGAAATAAGGCGCGTCTTGCGTGGGATGTTCATGTATATCTAATAGCATCTCTTTTCATGATCCTTACTCTTTGTTCTTTGGTGAACATTTTTCGTGTGAATATCTGTAAGCGTCTTCTGTCCCGCGGCTATTACATCACCTTGCACAGTATTTTGCTCATAATCGGCATCGTGCGTTCTGTGTATCTTTTCTACGACGCGTACAATGTCAACAATTCCTTTCCTGAACCCATCTCTCACCTTTTACTGAATATTGTGTTGCCATTGTTAACCTCAGCCTTTATTATACTGTTCATATTCCTTTTGTATGCTTCGAAAGTACACATTTCCAGTCTTGGCCTACAGAAGCCGTTCCTAACAGGTGTGTTTATAACTTTGCATATTTTATTGTGCATTACAATGGATCTTTCAACGGGGATAGACCCAAATATGACGTATCTACCGCTCATTTGTCAGTCAATCTTTATTGTATTATGCATCTGTCTAGGGTTTACCTACCTCTATGCCTACAAACATCTCTCAAAATCTGCAGCTGTTAGAAAACAGGATAACATTTTTGGAAGTGGATTTACAAACATTGCCAGTCCGACGTTAGCCGTCGCTGTTCGGGCTACTTTAGCAACAGCATTATTGAGCCTTTTAATGGCAGCTGTTCAGTTGTATGGAATATTTGGACCTTACAATGTTGCAAGTGTGGGAAGTGACAAGACTTTTGGTTGGTTGTGGTGGGGTTATCAATTCTCAGTGCGTGTCATTGAAGTGTCAATGTGTTTTCTCTTATCTTGGGCTGGGGTTCAGCCCCTTCGTTTGAGCGGTATTGAAGATGAAAAGGAATCACAGAATTCAGGATTTGCCCTGTTCCGTTGTGGCCACTGTAATAATACCCCGCAGAGCAGCGAGGCTACCGACGACATTTATCCTGCTGTCTGCGTTACTAATCAGGCCATTCATGACTACACAGTACGAACGGGAAAGAAAGTCTACGATGACTCATTTCCTTTGAACAACTTGCACAGTGGACTTCCTTTGCCAGAATCCACAATTAACATTTCTACCTCTGAAAGACGCTCTTTGCGAAAGACCGGTTATGTATCAAGTAGTGACTCACCATATCCTGTTATTGGAGGTGATACAGTAGAATGTCGATCTATGATGAAAAAGTCCGGAACTTTTGATGTTGAAAGACCAGATTTTGATTTGCCATTTTCTGCCACAAATGAGGTTCAATGTTCATTAAAGAATTCAAGTGGTAGTGGTGGGGGAGCTTTAATATCGCTGAAGGGAGATTGTGAGCGGCCAGCGGATTCTCTCAGTGGTAGTAGTAGTACTATGGAGAGGAGACCATTGAAGAAATCTGGTACCTTGGATCCAGCTGTTGGTTTCCCAGGCATCGGAACATCTGATGTGAGGCGGTCCATCAAGAAGTCTGGAACTCTAGCATCTTTAAGTTCTGAGCGAAGAACACCTGTTAACCAACATAGGAGCGGTGCACAGACTTTATGTTCCACAAGAGAGTGTTCGTCGCCTTCAATGCTAGTTGCAGAGAATGGTTTTGTAAGATTCAGGGCACTTGCAGACCCAGAAGAACAGGATGTGGAAGATGCTGTCGGAAGATAAAACTGATTTTTTCATGAAAGATATCGGATCTTTGAAGCATAACAGTTCACATAACAATGAATCCATTTCCATGCAGTTCATTGGCATCAAATTTTCTTAAAATTGGAGTATGTTAATCTACGACAGGAGTTTTTAAACCGTGGCTCTGAGGCTGCATGCAGCCGAGTGATATAAACTGCTCGTATTATGCATGTTTAGTATTCACAATAAAGTTTCATATAAAGCAGAATTGATGCTTCTGGTATTTTCAGATTTTTTCCCAAATGAAAACAGTGGATGATTTATTATTTATACAGCAGACTGTACTTAGTGATGTCTTACCTTATTAAGATAAAAATGTCTTCATATCTTTTGTTCATTAACCTAATATGGTTCTGGAATCCACTTAATAAATGTGCATGGATCATTTCCTAGTAATCTATTGCCGATCACCGTGCTTAGTCAAACGGATTTTCCTGTTCAGTACAAAATTGGAAAGTCTGATTTTGTTTCTAAAAAGCATCCTTTTGATAGATAAAAGTTACGTTTGTTTTAGACTGTGCAGTCAATTCTATAACCAGCAGAAGTTCTGTAGGAAGAGTAAATTTTGCTATTCTGTCAAATACATGCTGTGTTTTATATCAACACTTGTTTCAAATTGTTTTTTTCTGTATTCATGTTAGGGCATGAAATAATGTGGAAACAGTATATTGATGCCAACAATCTTCTTTCACTATGCTGAATTATTAGCTTCACGTGTAGTAATGGTCTGAAAGAAATGCTTCAAACCCTTGTAAATACAGATTCTTCATATAGTAAAAGAATATGGCTGTCTTCAGACTTACCGCCGCAGAAACCTAAAATCCTGCTATGTAAAAGAACTTGATATCGCAGAATGCAGCAACATTACGTTCCTTCGACATGTCGCACTGACACAAAAATAGTGTAATTTTAATGATTAAAACAAATTAAGGAACTGAATGTGGAATTTGTCAATTGGGGAAATTGTAGAATAAATAAAAATTGGTGTCATAGTAGAAAAGATACTTTCAAAAAAAAAATGAAGTCTCAGTTATATTAATTCTACAACAAAATAAAATTCCAGTATAGTTTGAGACCATGACCTGAATTGAAATGGATTCGTTTATACGGAAAATTTATCTCAAGCTCTGTAACATTTTTCAACGTATACCACTGTTGGTTGAGCATTAGCTTGCCTTATCTGCTAAGATATTGATGGACGTTTAATGTCAGTATTATCCTGGTGTTATGCTTAGAAGGTCAAGAAGAATGTTTCTTTCATGTGTGATTTGTATATACTTGGTTTTCTTTTTGTAGAATATCTCTCTCTCCCTCCTCCCATTTCAAGAAGATGATGAAACATTTTAAGATGGAATAAAATTATGCAGCATTTTGAAGTAATGCCTGAGAATTTATCATCATCAAGTAATATTGTAATATGTTACAAATACATGTGTAATATGTAATGCTCTTCAGTATTTCTTTATAGTTTTAACATGTGCTGGGTAAAGAAGGTATAATGTATACCAAGACAAATATTAATTTTTAATACCCATGTTTTATAAATAACTTGATCCAGTTAAAGAACAGTCAAACTTCAAGATTTGTGTCAAATTAAATTTCATACCTTGTGATAAATAGTGGCATTCTGAATTCGGGGTGTTGCAAAATTCAAATAAATCTGACAGAACAGTTACATATTCACCCCTTTTTGTTGTTTGACAAGACTAGTGGCTCTTAAATTTGTGTATTCGCTGTTTTAGTTTAACTTTTTGTAGCTGAAGCTCGCCTAAAGAATATTTAAGAATTCAGTCCGTACCGCAAAGAAAACATGGCTCTGTATAATTACATACTAAGCAGGGCACATGAGTGAGAACTTCCTAATCTTGTTTTCATTTATTCTAGTGATATGAATGGTAAGTTTTGCAGAATTGTCTGTGGTTCTTTAAGTACGTATATTACTGTCACTGTTATTACATCAGTCTGTGGTCGTAAAATATAATAAGACTTGTATTTTTGTCTTGGTATACATAATCAGTCTTCAGTATTTGTGGTCTGTACAGGCCTGAAAACGTGATTATTACAATGGTATTTTAAACTACAGCTTTGTTTTTGAGCAAGGTAAATATTTTGAATTTGTTTTATTTGTGTTACTGTATCTAATCTATAGAAACATTAATACAAATCACACTGGAAGTTGTTCATAGGGATGTTAAAAAATCGATTTTATCTTACCTGGACATATTTGTGGCCATCTGATAGCCTATACTGTTGTAATATATAATGACTTTTCCTTCTCTCTGTGTGAGAATGTTTATTTTGTTTCAGAATATGATCATTGCACTTGTGAATTTTGTAAACATTAAGAAACTATATTCTCACAAGTAATTGAAACTTGTGTTTATAGACGGAATACAGATGTGCTGTATCAGTGGTTGGTATGGTAGTTGTATCCATGGCACAACTTACTATTGTACATGCAATTTGCAAAGCTCAGATTATTTATATAAGCAGTAATTTACCTGTTCTGCGTAATGCTACAAACACATATGTGACATACACCATATTAAGTTAAAATGGCAGCTTTTTAATTTATTCATGAAACACATTTTGGAAAAAGTTAACATGTTAGTTACTGGTTCTTGTACTTGGTGTTCGTGGCTGGAATTCTCTCTACAAATTCAGCTTTCGAGAATTGACCGCAATGAATGTTGAAATTTTTGCCAGAACGGCTTCCAGCATTTGACTCGGCTCATCCCCATTTATCCAGTTCAATTTCAAATTCTCACAGTGTATTTAAAGCTTGTTTCAAGTGTTTGGTTCCTCATTAATGATCATTTATGCAGTATTCTAGGTTTTTTGGATTGGTTGAAATTATTTATTTTGATAATAGTTCTTTTCCCTGCTGTTGCTGCTCAAATATGTATTTACTACTAAAGTAAAGTAAAGCTGTCCCACTATGAACCATGTAGGCGCTTGGGGGGAGAGGAGGTACAGCTCCTACTCATTCTTGAAATCGGCACTAGATGGAGGTGAGTGGTCAGCATCACGCCCCGGCCGCGCTTTACCCCCGGGAAAGGACCCCGGCACCAGAGCCAGTTTGGACTTAAAGTACTTTATTATTTAATTGGTGTCCGTATGTAAGTAACACAAACCACATTATCCAAGAATGGGTACGTCTAGCACTGTACATTTGGAATGGAATTCACTCTTCACATTACTGTGTCCACAAAGTCCGTTCGGGGTTTTGAATACACCTTTATGTGAGATTACCATAGTTCCTTTTTTATGTTAATCATTTTGATTAAAAGTTGCTAGCTGTGTGTTTCAGCCGCACTTCTCAATTAACTATATCATCATTAATTTAAAGACTGAGAAGGTATTGTACTATATATTGATAAAGGGAAAGTCAGATAAGAACTATGTTAAAAGTAGCAGGATGTGAATTTGTTGATTAGAAAATGGAAGAAATTTCAATTTATGTCTGTCCAGAAGTAAGCGGTAAACTAAGAGGTTTGGACTTAGGATAAATTGATATTTAAAAATGGCTGTAGGATGTAACTTAAATTTTGCGAGCAGCGGAAAAGGAATCTATACAGGAAGGGATGTGCATGTTTTTGGATAAGAAGTCACAGTGGATTTCCTGAAAATGAATGCATGTGAAATATTTGAAAGCTCATACAATCCATATGTAGTAGGTTTTGCTATGGATATTTCCCTGAGATGTTTTAATACAGAAAACGACAAATTGTGTGAAGTCTTGGGGCTATGAAAGCATTTAATTAAAATGACAACCCACTCAGTATTACAATATTCAGTATTTTATTTGAATGTTTTTCAAGGATATTAGTACTACTGCATACATTCCAGTGTTAATATTAATAATGCATACATATTAATAAGATTTAAAGAGTGGTGATGTACCGTGTTGTGCGGAATCTCCTTGATAAAGAAAGCTGTGATTGTAGTTGTGCTTCACATATCTGTTAGTATTGTTGTAGTCACAGTTCATAGCTTTATTTGATTTGTTGAACTTCACAGTGAACCAGTTGTCAGATTGATTTGAAATTAAAAGGAAACTATTTTATGAATTTATATCTTAATTGCATCATGCTTGTGTTCCTCAATACAATACTTTTATTTTCCGTCGTTACACAAGCTTGTTGTTAAAAATCATATAAAATTTCACATAAAATTGTTACATTTTAAAATTGACGACATGTTTCGATATACAATTCTATCATCGTCAGGTCTATCAAAATTAAAATTAAAATCTGGTGTATCTGTTGCTCTGCTTATATTGCTTATGTTTTATCCGTTTTTATTACATCTCCAGGCTTCTTTCATTTAATTTTGGAGACGCGTCTGGGTGCCTATATCTGCAAAATCAATTTTAATTTTCATATCGTGATTCTGGCTACCGACATAGGGAATATCACCGGAGATACATTTAATACAAATAAAAAGGCGTGTCTTATTAAACCAAAATTACAATCACAGTTTTCTTTAGTTTTTTTGGAGTGTAAAATTTCTAGTGCAGCTTACTTGGAAAACTTTTTCCCCACACCCTCTAGAACTAGCAACCATTTAAGACAAATTCTTTCTTCATTTCTGTTGTGTGAATGTTCTGCGTAATTGTACATACATTTTATATATCGCAAATATGTTTGTTTCTGTAAACAAAACATTCCCTCCTTTTTTTACAAAGTATTTCTCTATCGGAAGAAAATTATACTGGGAACTGAGAGTTGCACATGTACTTTTCTATTGCCTGCTCTTTTAGTCAAACTGATATTAGAATGTGATTGTTCTTGGTAAAGATATATGAATCTTCAAATGGTTTTCTTGCAAGATGATCTTCATATTTTACAGAATTTTGTATTGATTGTTAATTGCGGTTTTTGCTGTACTTATAAAAAAAAATTAAACATGAAACACTTTCAAAACATAAAATGTTTGAAGAAAACAGCAGATTTGTATGTCGCTTTCGTCTTGTGTATTCTGTTTGCCATGCAATTTGACTTTCATTGGGTGTTTATGACAGCGAGTAGCAGTATTTAGGACCGTCTGAAGATTGAGGGGAATCATTTGCATTTTCTGCTATGGAATGTTGTTTCAAACCATATAAATGTTGAATACTCCCCCCCCCCCCCCCCCCCCCGTTGCATTTACTACATTAAGAAACTCACAGACCGTAGATAATATGGTGTTATTATATCAAATTGTGGCTGTAATTTAATGTACTGTAGATACATTTTTCATTTTCTTATGTATGTAGGTTGGTAGTATGTTGTTTTCGTAGTGTGAAGTCTGCATTTACATCAGATAAACAGGTGTGCCTTTGTTTCTAAGTTGACAAGTTATCTTTCCAACAAAGAAATCTGATTTGTAATTACGAGGTGTTGGAGTGTTGTATTACTGATCACATTTCTCATACTGCCAAACCAATTAAGTATTAAAAGCATGCCCAAAAGACAGTTTGAAAGTCTTGTTACACGACTGATTACTGGCAGTTTTACGAGTTTATAGATATCAACAAACATTTCCACTTACAAACGCGTGTTTTACTGATGTTCGTTATCTTGTCTGTTTCATTGTAATGTGATTTTAATACTTAAGGCAGCCCTTGCGGAAGACGCCCTGAGACCTCTTTTTATATTTAGTATGCTTAAATAATCTGCCTTTGAAACATTTTTAACTGTTTTGATAGATGAAGACAGTTCCTGATACAGTTTTTTTTCTCTAGAGATGTGCAGCTGAAATGTCCGCTAATGTTTCTCATTGTGTGAAGTGGCATTCTCCTCTTCGACATATTGTGCAGTTATGGAGATAAGTAAAGTAGAAAAATATGGGTATGGATGTGGCCTTCTGGGTTGTGACTATGGTTAATATTACTTTTGAAGGTAATCACGAAACTTGATGAATTTAGAGCCGCAAGGTAGCCACATTTTTAGACAAATTTGAAAGACTAATATTACATTTTTAGCCTGCTTCCATGCATACATACATTGATGCCACGTTATTGCCATCCAGTAGAATGCACATCTTATTGTGAAAAATGGACGTAATCTCTTCTTGGCACAGACGGTGTGTTGATTGTATCATGAATCTTCATTGAACTTTTCAAATTCTCTTCAGCAGAATTTGAGTTTTATTTTAATGTCAGAAACTGACTTCTTGAGCATATCAGTTTGCACCCAGGGTAGTTCCTAGAAGTAATGTGAAATTATTAGCCGGGATAAATGACGCATGCGGATAGAGAATCCATCTCTGCAAGTACTTGAGATCTGTGGATTATTATATAGCATTCGTACATGAAGCCTGTAAAAACCTTGGTCATCACTATAATTAATGGCTAATTTTGATTATTTTTAGTCACAGTAGTTTCATGTTACTTGTACTTATTAAATTTTTACTAGTATATGTTTTCCCTGTTTTTCATATGTGGTTCCATAATATAGTAATTCTGTTTGTCCAGAGATTAAGACTGGAATAAGTCCATTTATTGCATTTATACAATTAAGTAATTACAGTTATCACTTCGCAATATTTTCTTATGACATCCCATTAATGTTACAAATAGTTTCAGTTGTTTTGGGTCAGTGTGATTTACAATATGCTTTTTTGATGAGTTCATTGTATTAAAACATTTTTATTATTGTTAAACTAAAGTTTGGATTAATATGGGAATTTAGTTTCTTACTTAATTCTGATGACACATTTCTAACTTGACAGATTGATAACTGTTGCGGGGTACAAATTATTATTGTAGTACTCTTCAGACTACATATTGTTGACACAAAGGTAAAATTGTGACTCTCTAAGAATTTAACTTCCAGGAGGGGCAAAAATACTTTTTAAGGTGTCGTCATTTTGGTATCTTATCGAATTAACTTTTATTAGAAAATATCCAAAAAATTCATATTTTTGACGTTAATACGGAAGGGTCAGTGTCATTCCGCAAAAAAGTGTAACGAAAAAGTTTTACGACAGAAAAATGTGTAAGCCACTACATAAACTCCTTACTGTATAGACGTATTTACGTCAAATTCTCCAGAGCCGTGGTTCCACTGTAACTTTTTATTAACTTCTTTGCAGTTATAGCACACAAATTTACGACTTGTTCTATAAAACATAAAAAGTCCTTTTATTTTCCTGCAGTCTAGCGTAAAACTATAAATTCACATGGCTAGTACAGCAATCATTTAATGACATCTAGATTCTGATACTTTTTCTTCACAACCCAAATGAACTAAAATTGTTAATAACGGAACAGGAAAAGATATATCTCTCTGTCTCTCTCTTTTCCCTCCTTTGGTCCAAAGTCATAAACCAAAAATATCTCAGAATAGTGACGGACGTTTTTAATATAGAATTGAACGAAAAGGCTTTACGAGGTGTGTGTGAGATACAGTTCAAGGTGGCCCATTTATTATGTGTTGTGATAGTTCTTGACATCTTTACGTTGGCCTGTTTTTCTTCATACATTCCAGTGTGGTCTGTGCAAATCGATCTGGGTTGAATTCTCATGGTGATCTTGTAATTACACACTGACCCAAATCGCTTACTTTCATATGTGATGGAGTATTTCAGGATAGCAATGAAAATAAAGACTGTGTCATGCCATTTTATTGAAATTGGCTATTTTTCTTTATATTTATATATATATATATTGTATCTTGTGTGCATGTTTTGGTTTGTTTAGTAATGTTAAAGAATACTCATTAAATAAAGTTGCGATGTTTTTTTTAAAATAGCTGATCATGACATACTTTGATGAATGCGTAAAAATAAATACTATATGCTGAGACATTCTCATGTTTCTGAAAACATTTTATGGGGTTGTAGGGCACTGGTATCCATGTTATGAGAATTGCATTGGAAGACTTTGAATTTTGTGTGGTGCCCACAATAGAGTACAAAGTAATTGTAAAAAATGTCATCCTGTTTGTTGCATGTACATTTTATATGCTAATCTAATACAGTATTTGAAAAACGTATTTAAAACTACTGGCCGAAGAACCAGTGGTTAAAATTTAATGGAGATTAATGCTGCAGAAAATTGATCTTGAGGAAATCGGTTTTCCATACAGAATTGTAAAGGGGCATTGAGTTTATATGACAACACTTTACACAAAAATATGGTGCCATAAGAAAGACTTATGTTATATTTCAAATTATGACACAAAATATGCCAACTTCTTGAGAGAAATATAAGTACTTTGCGTGTTCTTGGAAATGGAATGCTCTCTTCTATGTGTTCACATAATGTTTCCTGTTTGTCTTTGCTTGAAATTTAATTGTTCGACGGCTCGAAAATAATAATTTATTTACATTTGTGAAATGTGTTGATGGAACTGCTTTTAAATTGTCCAGAAACTATGCAAGAGAATAAAAATAAGGTGAACAGAAGTTGAGTCAAAATGAGTTTTGGTCAGATATGTTACATGTAAAGACTTTATTATAAGTTTTGCTTATGCACAATTTGAAATGGTATAACTAGTTTCATGGAAATATCAAATTTATTGTTAGTGTTGTGTAATTCTCTCTATAAACTTGGTCACAGTCTTTCTTGAAATCCACGTTAATGTACCGTCCTATCTGATGCAGAATGTTTGATCAGCGGCCGTTTGTCTATGAAGTGAGTTGACCATTACAGAATAATTTTGGATATAATTCTGCAAGTGGTTGATAGCAGTTACACTCCTTCGTAATTACTTTTTCTTTTTGCATGCTCTTAAATTATTACATTAATAGATTTCTTTCACTTCTCTGGTAATTCTTACTTATGTCAGACAGAATTAATACTTTTAAGGGTCTCAGAATGCAATGTTTACACCCTGTTTGGATTAGTTCTGCCAGAATTTGATCAGTACTTTGTGATTGAATTAATGTCATATCAGTTTTAGTATGCTTCTTGTTTATAAACATGCAATAGAAAAATATGTGTTTCTTTGTGGTTAACTGAATTGACAGAATGGTATGAAATGTATCAAAGTGTGAATTTTATTGTACAAAATGGCAATGTTACTTTGAAGTGAACTACTACTTAAAACAGATGATGGTATTTATATCGAGCAGTTACAGATACATTTGTGTTTTCATTTTTTAAAAAAAAACACTTTTCATTGTCAACAACATATTAATTTTAGTGTTTCTTTAAAATAAAAGTCCCCATTTTGACAAAAAATGTGTGCTAGTTGAGCCCATTAAATAAATTTTCCTGCAAACACTTCAAAAGGTGCGATATGATACTTGAAAATTATTTAAATCTAGGCCAGAATTTGGAGTGAAGTGTTTATGAGATATAAAAAAATAGCTTTAAATGTGTGTTTTCTATAACTTGTTACAACTTTGCTGTTATTTCTTGGAATTGAAATTATTAAAGACGCAATCATTTGTAGTCTCTGCTCCTTGAAATAGTTTTTATACTTTTCATTTTATGTGCAAATCTCAGGACCAGTGCAATGACATCGACTGTCCAATTTATTGATTCATGGCATGTGTCTTGATTGAAAAGTGGCATACTTCCATCTTCAGGTCATTGGTTGTTTTGACTTCAGTGGTATTGAGTAGCTTTTGTTTTGACTTCAGTGGTATTGAGTAGCTTTGCTTTTGTTTTGTTTGACTTCAGTGGTATTGAGTAGCTTTTGTTTTGTCCACTTACACAATTGAAACCTTTGAATGTTCTAGCAGTCAGTTAACCTGAAAATGAAAGTTAATCCAGCTCTTAAAATCTCAAGAGTAAATATATAAATGTGGTAACAGACATTCTGAACATGACGATTTCTACAAAACACCATTTTCGTACGTATGAAAATACTGTTTATTGTGAAGCACATTCCCTGCTACCTTGAAAGATGTACAGAAATAATAATTTCCTTGTGAAGAAACGCTAAATGAAAAGTCCTAATAAATGTGATATATATATAGTTTGACTAGGCCATTGTACTCCACAAATATTGCATTATAATTCATTTTAAAATCACAGGCATGACGAGTAAATTTCTTTATTGTTTCTTCGCGTTTAACATTTGCAGCAGAGGCGTCATAATGGCATGAAGCAAGTCTTATTTCAGTATTTTATTTTGCAGTTGGGAGCTGCATTCTACTTGAACTGTAATTGTTGCAATTTTATTTCACAGTACGAAGGCTTGTTATGATGCCGCATTGTACGTGTAATTACTGGCCTAATGCTTTGGAAAGATGAAATAGTTGCATGTCACTTAGCATGAAACTCATGCCTGCCAACCCAGAGTGAAACGGAAGCCATAACGTTATTGAATTTTTGAATGTACATATATTTTATGTAAGTAAATGCTGTATTCCGTAGTATTAACAATCAAGTATACAATATTCATATTTTTGTGTTGTAGTTCTTTTTGAATTTCCTTGATATCCAACAAAATAACTTTATGTTATGTGCATTAGTGGAGGTCAATCTTTAAGATCCTACAGGGATCCCTTGATTATGGCCAAGAACTCTTTTAACATAGAGCATTTTACCATTTGGGCAGGGATTTCGTGAAATTAGGAAATTATTGTTAGATCTCACCGAGTCCGTGCTGTAAGCATGGGGCTGCTAGCAAATTAGTAGCATAAAAATTTAGCTAAATGGTTGCAGTGCAAGGGATGAAAATTATTTGCCGTGATGTATATAATGTCATTATTTTGCTATAATCATACGATCTTCTGAAAGTAGTAGGAAAGTATCCCAACAACAATGAGCAATATGGGACCCCCCAATGAAGAGCATAAGTTGAAATCACACGGTATGACAAAGCCATAACGCCACGGTGGTCTAGCGGGTAGAACGCTGGCCTTGTAATCCTGGGGTCTCGGGTTCGATTCCCGGCGGTGCCCGAATTTTTAACTTGTGTTGGGCAAGGCCGTGGTCTAGGCAACACGGAGTTTTCCTCCGTGGCATCCCAACAATTACTCCATTCACACACAGAAGAAGGCAATGGCAAACCACTTCTGGATCATCTGCCAAGAACGTATATGAACAGGTCCCAGTCCGAGAAAAGGATGGAAGGATCCTGTTCATATGGACCTGTCGTCAGACAGAACAATAAATAAATAAAAATGACAAAGCCATCTTATGTTCCCTCACTACAAGTTACTGAATGAAAAAGCAATTCTAGCAGAACAAATCACAAAGAACTATTGACACAGGTGTGCGTGTCGACCTAGTCTTGTTGCAATAATGGAATATTTACCCTTTAAGCCTGACTGTAACTATGTCCCACTTGTTTCAACAATCATTATCGTGTTGTATTTATGAGTTTCGTATGATTCTCCCTGGAAACGGATTATTTTTTCTATATACCATTAATTAATTTATCGCTGTAATGATGACGTGTTTTCTTTGCGGTACGGACTGAATTCTTAAACGTTGGTTAGATGAGTTTCGGCTTCAGAAGGTTAAATATGGTGAAGGTCTGCCAACAAAATATTTGCTCCAGTAATTCTAAGCTCTAAATGCTTTCACTTTGATGTGTGTCTAGTATTAATGCCGAGGAAGATGGTATTGAATCTGTAGGCTGTTCCTTCAGGAAGACATTGGTTCAAGGACGTGCTTTGTAATGTTTTGTGTGTTCATGTTACTCATTTTCCTACAAAACAACTCGCAGAGCTATCTGACGCGACATTCATGCTATCAACTATAGATGTTTTCTAGAATATTGACAAGTGACTGGTTTTCGATTATCAGTCTGCAGCTGTCAAATGAAGTGTTTTTTCGTGCTTGTTATGACTGGCGTTATTGAAAATTTTATATTGCAGTTTGATATTATTCTGTTACAAAAATCTGATCAATGTACGTCTGCGGTGATGCGTGTGATGTTGAAAGATGCAGACTTAATTTTTCGAAATGTCAAAAACGTAACGGCCGAAGCGTGTGGTTTTCATAAACTAGTGTTTAAGGTTATGTATGGATGATGGCGATTCTGCGCTAGCTGTTCCCTTGGATTAAAACAATAGTAAGGTATGTTCTAAAAGCTTATAAGTATATATATGTTGTGTGTCCGAAGTGATAATTGTTTATATTATACATAAACCCCCATTCAATTCAACGCCTTCGAACGTCAAATGACTTTTTTGAAGTGTTCTGTAGTGATTGAAAATTTGTCACTTTCTTGTAGCGTGTTAATCTCATTGACACAGACTGTAGATATTCAACACATCTGGAGCTGAAAATCAAGAAGAGATACAGTCTGACACAAAGTAAAATATAAGATTTATTGACCATGTTCTCTCGTTAAAATTCATTTATTATTTCAAGTATTTCTCGTGATGGTTTTCTGTTTGTGGTGACGAGTGAGAATAAGCAAACTAGGTGCCTTGTTAAAACAGTAAACAGGTTTTGAAAGTTAGAGAACCACCATGGAATACATTTTCATACGTTGTTCCTATGTTGGCAAAGAGTTGACAGATGTTTCAGCCTCAAAGTGATTTTCATTTATACACAGATAATATAATTTTAAAAACATATGTACAGTTTTATTAATCATTATTTCATGTTTTTGCAGTCTAATTAACATTTTTCTTCGTGGGTTTTTTTCATAACAACAATTACAAATATATGTTACATAATGACAGTACTAGTACTTTTTTGGCACTAAGGAAATATTAACTACACGAAGAAAAATATTGGAAGAAACTTGTACAACTACATGTGTTGACTGCTATCAGATATCACACCTACCGTCTTTTTAAAATTAATTATTTTCATGAATCATGTTTATTACACTGCCCTATTCTTCATTACAAAATATACAGACTTCTTAGTTGCATCACTAATACACCAGAAAAGCAGCAGGCTTTTACAGTTTCCATTTAAGAAAATACATCTCAACTACTCTGTATAAGAGTAGCAAATTCAGTACGAGCAGAGATGTCACGTGCTGAGGATCGTGGCCGAAATTTGCGCTTTCCCATCTCCCATATAATTTTGGAAATGTAAGAGTATTTTTTTTTTTGTGTGTGTGTGCCAGATTCTCTCTTGCCTTTGCCTCAGTCAAATAATTCTTGACATCTCCGTGTAGTACAGATTATAGAAACACAAGAAAAGGTCGGTCAGATAATCTGCCTTTCCACAGGTAGGAAAACATTTATACTAGACAGATTCGTCATAGTGCGATCAAATTACGTCTACATTACACATATTATCAGACATTAATTTTCAGCACTTCAAGATCGTAATTAATAAGTCATGTTTACAGGTATTAAAGAGACGTGAAATTAAATTGGAACACTTAAAATGGTATTCATTTGACATTCACTGAGATTTATGATAGAAACCGGTTGTTCCTAAATGAAAGTTCTTAAAATACTGCTTCGCTAATGGAAAAAGAACCCACAATATTTTTTAATAATATTGTGGGCTCTCTTCATAAGAAACTGAGCATTATTCTTTCATACTGGTGCTGCTTGTATTTTGCAAATGTAATAAATCTCACAGTTATAAATTTGCATGAGAGTTTGTATTTTTAAGGATTTTAGAGTGGTGGAAAATTCAGTGTTAAACATGAATGAATACGTATATTTTCCATAGTTTTGTACAACACTAAAGTACATTAAAATATCTGAAACCATAACCTAGTTTAGTTGTTCATAAGGAAGTGTTATTTACCGGAAGTTCATAACGGGCAGTATTGTGTCTCGTTAATTAAAACAGGAATGATTATTCACTTTGAAGAGAAAATATTAGACATCATTTTTAATTTCTTCTAACATGCCAATTTATACATATAGTACTAAAATGAACTAATGCCATGAATGAACAAAGTAATATACTTAGTAACATGTAAACATCATTATTTTGGTGTATAAGTCATTGTTTATACACTTGACTTCGTCAGTTGCATTGCGGATGCTCCAGAATATTTTTGTTTCACTTGAACACTTAACATCTACAGTATGGCGACAGATGTGAAGTGTCGCTATGTTGTATCGTGATTGAAGATACGCTAATGATGGCGTCTGGTTTGTTTTAGTTTGTTTCTTTTAGGTCCATAGTTACGCATATTTATTTTGTTGCTTCTATATTAGGCCAGTAGCTGTTTATGTAATTTTCACGGATAATATGAATAGCAGTCTCATGTAATTTATGGACATTTTAATGACAATCTGTGATGATACTGTTTCTTTTTATTGAGGTACCACTGTATTTCTTCAACGTATGACAGATTTAAATTATTGATATTAAATTCGTTCTTCATATTATTCATTTTCTTGGTGGCAAGGGGTGGAGGGATAGGAAAAATCACTGAACTATGACTAAAAACTCAAAACATGAATAGCCATAATTATTGTGAAGCTACCAGTCACATTTCAAGTATCTAATGTCTTTCTGTAGTTTATTTTCTGAACAGCGTTTTACTATGGCTTCCCAAAAAAGTGAAATTATCATCAGAACTTCAACACAAAATATAGAACGCCATAATAATTGCAAACTCTGAAGGCAATATTAGTTAATCAGATGATCTTTCAAAACTTTTTTTCTGTTCATCACTAATTTATAGTCAAATTAAAATAGGTGTTAATTTGACAACATGATGTGAAATTAAGAAACTGCAGAACTGTAGGAATTATAGAACCACCAGACTTATTGAACTAAAATGCTTTTAAGGGGCTTACAGAGAGCTCAAGATATAATCCTTATTTTATACAACAACCCTTTCCTTCAAAATTCACAAATATGGGAACACATTACTACCACACTTTCATTAACTTTGAATTATTTACGGAGACCACAATTGAAATTAGGGCTTCCAGTTTTTATGTCCATGCTGTAGTCAGATATACAAAATTTACTTTTTTAGAGTTTATTAATTTTTTTTAGCATTATTAAAATACTTCTTGTGATATTGCTAGTGACTATTAGAAATAAATGTTAACACATAATATGCACAGTTCAAATCAGTAAATGTATTGTCCTCAGTCAAACCTGATAAGTGAAAAAATTAAAAATAGCTTAATATTCCAACAGAATTTGGGCACAGAACTTCATATGTGAATCCAGCGTAAGTTGTGTTCCTGTATGTATATTGGAACGATTGTTTTATCACAACCAAATTAAAAATGAAATATATTTTTTGTAGGGCCCCTGTCCTCAGAATTACTCTTTCTCGTAGCTTCCTTACGGTTTCTAGACAGTGCAGAGAAACTAAAACAAATGATTTGAATGAAACTCATTTACGTTATGTAGAATATTCCTACATACGTGTATAAAAAGATTTATTCAGTTCGATGACTCATTACACAACAAAAATATTTTCCATTGAAGTATTAAAATCAGGTATTTTGTTTATAAATTAATCACATTTATTTTTTTATTGGAAACTAACAAGTAACAGCGCATCTCACCAACTGTAGTGTCATCTGACACTTTTGAATAAAGGTAATATTTAAAAATACATATTTCAACACATATTTAAACAACTTTTACACCATCTGGTATATATAGCGTAGTGTGATAGACAAAATGTTCCAAACTCCCACTAGTAGGGTTAATGTGCAAGGAATTAAAATATGTCGACAAAATTTTCTGAATAATTCTATTCAGCATGGCTTTAATTTATTTCGGATATGAACCGATACTCAGTCTCCCATTTTCATCATGAGCACACAAATCTTTAACATTTGCCAAGTATCTTTTATCTGTGCCTTCCACGAGAATTATTTTGTTTGGTTGCTGTAAAACAGCCAATGAATAAGAAGTATTAACTTCAGTCAAATACATGCCGTTTGTCTACTAGACGTGTTGAGTGCTGGGCTTGACAACTGACACATAAACTGGGCGATACAAGACGACAGTTTCCCTTTGAGAGTCGTGACTGGTGGTGCCGTCATAGACTTCGCCGAGTAGGAACTCCGGACCAATGTAGAGACCTCCCTCAACATGTTCGCAACTCACCTCTGTAAGAGTAAATAACACCTTACCAATTGAAGATTTCTGTCTTCTGGGTTGTTGCGCTGTGTAGTCTGGTCGATGTTAACCAACGTTTCAGAGGTC